GAGAGAGAGAGAGAGAGAGAGAGAGGGAGTTGCCGCCTTCGCCTTCCTAAAGATTACTGCTAGATTCGAAACAGCCTCTACATAGAGCTCGTTCATCCTTAGTCACGTGTCGAGTCGGTAAGTGGATCATGACATAATCGGATCCGGATAGTCACCGGGTCGAATCAGATCGGATCGGCTGGTAATGGATCCTGAAACCATAATAAGTAAGCCAAAGAGTTTCGTCATCAAAAAACCGAAACGCTGCCTAAACCCACCTTCACCTGCCCACTGGCTTATCAGCACTTGGTTCTGCTTTCCTCGTCTCTACCCTTCCTCTCTTCGATCGCCCATGGCGGACGGAATCGAAGAGGTGGCGGAGAGCGTCTCCGGTCTCTCCATCGGCAATCCACCCGCCGCGGAAGCTCCGAGCAAGAAGTATCGCCTCGATTCCCTCCTCCGTAGCCTCTTCCCCTCTTCTGTTGGAATGTTCCTTATTCATCTTTGTTCGTTGTTCTCGTTTAGCGCTTTGAAGAAGGAGCTGAAGAAGAAGACGAAAGAAGAGGAGAACCGGTTGGGAGGAAGAGAAGAAGAAGAAGGTACACTTTTTTTGCCCGCTTGATTTTCTTTGAGTTACTTGCAATATATGCTTTTCTCTTGTTTGTTTGAAGCCCTAAAAGAGCCTCATTTTGCTGCTGCCTGAGAAATCATGCACAAGATTAAATGTTCCCGGATTTTGTGTCTAATTGATTATGATGACTCGCATTTTTGTTGCAAAATTAGCAGGCTGCTGCAATGCCACAGTCGCAGAAGCCATCGGCAGTTGCTGATGATGAAGACATGGACCCAACGGTTTGTTTGAGCTCAGTTTCTCCCAATCTTATAGCAGAGAAAAAAGAGATGCTAAGCTTTTTCGATTTATAGGTTGAAAACTCAGTTCAGTTATCTGCCATTTGCAGCAATACTATAAGAATAGGCTGAAGATCCTTACATCGTTGAAGGCAGCCGGAGGAAATCCTTATCCTCACAAGTTTCAAGTGTCCATGACCATAACTGAATATATCGAGCAATACAGAGTTCTGAGTGACGGGAATCACCTTAAGGATGTCGAAGTCAGTTTGGCAGGTACATTTACTTTATCATATGATTGATGTATTAGTATTAAATTAATGTGGTTCTGTTATCTCTTGATGCTGTATTGAGTTGTCCTTTGTTTTAAGGGTGAATCATGAACAAGCGAACTTCTTCATCGAAGCTTTACTTCTATGACCTGTATGGAGGTGGTCTTAAAGTTCAAGTTATGGCTAATGCTAGGTACCACTTACTAAAATTAACTGATCTGTTTTGCTAATCATATTCATTTTTCAGTTTTAAGTGGAATATATTGATACAGATATCTACTATTTGGGTTGAACATGCCAAGCATTTTTATCCCTTTGCCCTCCGTCAAAGAATTAGCCCTGAAATCTGTTAGTGTTATTAAGTTTCCTTATATGCAACATATATTCTCTTTGTTTTATTATTTGCATCAAATTTATGCCTTCTTTATCAATGCTTTACTGCTATGAAATATCAACATATGCCACATTTCAAATCATCCTTTCTTTTACTAATCTTGCCACTATCGGTATCACTTTCAACTAAACATTTAATACTATTAGATGTGTTGTGGGAATATACTGCAAGGCTTTATTGTACTATTTAAAGGAAGCCTTGTGTATAACTGGATCCTATAACCATGCTGTCATGACATCTTGATTTTGTTACCCGTAAAATGGAAACTCAGTTGAAAAGTGGTAGCATTTACATCATATGGAATTGGGTTCCTTGAATAATGACAGTGAAACTGAGGCATTATGGATATATAATGCTGTCAGTGGCAAACAACATGTACTGCTATGATTTCTCTTTAGGGAACAGTGTTTTTGCATTTTAGTATTTATCCTCTTCATGTCAAAGATCTTTGACTAATTTAACTATACCAAAAGATCTTTCAAGTGAAGAAGCAAACAAGTACCTGTTTGATGCTTGTGTGAAGTTTGATGTTAAATGGCCCCCTCCTCAGACAACAGCAAGGTTATTGGACAAGGTTAGTTCTTAGATTAGAAGAGAAAATTAATTTTTCTATTGTGAATCAGAATTTAATAATGTTATGTGCAAGAGGCAACAAAAGAAACTAAAGAGGCAGGGCATAGATAATGGAACAAGAAAAAGAGAATAATTATATAATATGAATACAGATTAGCCATAAATATTGATGATTCATTCAAATACATTTTGTTTCTGATGAAAAAGGTTTGTCTTCAGGAGTTTTTTAATCTGAATTTATCATGTCTCATGCAATTTTTATTGGATAATGGAGTAAATCCTATTTGAATATTTTATTGCATGGCAGAGTAAACCATTTTGTGTTGATTGATAGCTTGTTGGGCATTTCTTGGAAGAGACATGTGTAAACCCTACATGTATCATTAATCACCCAGAGATCATGAGTCCATTGGCAAAGTGGCACTGATCAAAACCAGGCTTCACGGTTTGAATTATTCATCAACAAACGTGAGGTTTGTGACAACAATCTCATTTTTGGCAACAGATTCATGCACTGTTTTCTTATGGTGTTGGCATGTCATTTAGGTTTGTAATGCGTACACAGAACTGAATGATCCAGTTGTACAATGGCAACGATTTGCTGAACAACTTAAGGTACTGATGCGAGATTTCAGAACATCTCAGATGCAACTATAATATTTTTTTCTTTGTTTATTTTCTTTCCATTACATTGTCATACTAAGTCTGGTTCTGTAACTTGTGGACGGGGACATCAGGACCAACAATCAGGTGATGATGAGGCAATGGCTTAAGATGAAACATTTTGTCCTGCTCTTGAATATGGCTTGCCTCCAACTGGTGGACGGGGTTTGGGGATAGATCGCCTTACAATGTTTTTCACTGATTCACAAAAAAATATAAAGGTATCAATTGTTGTATAAATTCCTTATAAAGCCACTACCATTTTTACCCAGGCCAGGCCAGAAACCTAGCTAACATAATAATGTGAATGCTGGAATTCGTGGTGCAGGAAGTACTTTTTTTCCCCACCATGAAGCCTCAGGATGAGCCTTCGACCAAAGGTATCCTTTTTAACTCTGTGCTATGTTGTGAACCTAGGATTTGAATGCACTTAATGGTCAAATAATGCCTTACGATCTAATGTCATTTTAACTTTAGCAGGCTACCTTGATCTTTGACAATTAATGAGGCTATATTTATTTTGAAAAGATCTTCGAGAATTTATTCTCTCAGGTCATCTCAAATACAAGCATGTGGACCAATTTTAGTTATACTTCTGTATTTCAATCGATAGTGAATTTGTCCATTTCTACTATATCTTTTCAAATTCAAGTTGGCATTTTTTGTTATGGCACGTTGGCAATTGTTCTTTCAGGTTCCTCTGTTCTGATCCTATCTTCATTTCTCGGGACCTGGTGACTTAGACCCCCAGAGTTGAACCTAATTCTATTTTATTGTCATGATGGTTCACATTAGAAGTATGTATCCAATAATAGGATAACGGACACTCACGGCTTTGGGTGAGACCTCAACGCTAGAAAAGAATCCCTGGGGAGGCTTTCTCCTAAACCAAAGTATGGATCAGCGATTGCTTCACCGGCATTTCAAATGAACTATGGCCTGTGGTTCCTGTCTCATAGCCAAAGGCCAATTCTCGAGGATTTTAGACTTGGCAGGAATAAACTATCTTTTCATTTCCGCAATCATATTTATTGGGGTCACTTAGTGTCAATGGATCAAAACGCATGCATAATCACATTTTAACTAGAAGTAATTTGGGGCAAGTTAACGACAAATAACCTATAAATTCTGCTCCTACACCGTATGTAGGTTCATCACATTCTCAGAAATGACTTTTAAATTCATGCCTGATAGAACTCTAGCTGGAAAAAATAAACATCCTCCCTAACAAAAAGCCTTGCAAGAGGATATTTAGAAGCCAAATCCCAAATAGAGTATCAACAATGTGAATGTCGAATGAGCCTATTTCATCTACGAGCTCATCTCCAATGGAGGCCGGGCTGTATCAGTAACAGAGGCATCACACTCGTGTACTAACCATTCGCCATATAAGTCATATAAGTGAAAGAGATTGACAGTGTAAAGGCTGCATGTTGGAGCTGAGAACAAAAAAATAAAATGCACTTACATCAAAAAGTTGGTTATATCAAGTTAATTACATGTTACCTGAGGATAATTATATCTATTTAGCATCTCAATCAAGTTGGTTGTATCAAGTTAATTACATGTTACCTAGGATAATTATGTCTATTTAGCATCTCAATCCTTAAATTTAATCTCATTTATCATGACATGGTACAGAAGCACGAAAACGATGGACAAAAAAATAATTTCAACGTCCCAATTACGATTTCGATAGTGCTAAACGATGATACTGTCTAGGGCCACGAGTGATTATTGTAGACGAGGGAAAGTAACGACGAAAAGTAAAGCAAAAGGAAAGGAGAAAGAGAATGACATCGATACATCTGCTCAAACATATCAATGTAATGGTTAAACAGAAAGATGAATTAAACATATGGATACAACTTTTAATTGGAAAAGTACAAAAATGCTTTAAGAACCTAAGAATCCAAATATATCTCGAAATTACATTTTAAAAAATAGTATTCCACATGTTCTTCGCAATTCATTATTTGACACGATCAGGCATTCTATTATATCCCACCTCAACGATCGAAAGTCAAATTGGATCTTCAACTGCCTTTCGTGGTTCTCCTTTACTTGCAATCCATCCTACTTAGCTCACAAGACTACCGAAAAGAAAATTAAAGTAACTTCGTTTGTGGCAACTTATCAAAATTTTCTTATAAAATTTTGATGTCTTTGCCAACTTAGGCAATATACACATATACGCATGTATACTAATGGTGTCTCCATCCCCCCCCTCCCTTCCTCATTATCAAGCATTCTCAACAGTTTACTCTATAAACATTCCTACAAATTCCCCAAAATCAGTAACCGCGACTACCTAAAAACTGTGGAAACAACTTCTTTGAATCCGAATACCTTACCTTGCACCCACAAACTGTCCATTGCCAAGATTTCGACACAAACTCTACGCCATAGATTTGGGATGTACACGAAAAAGGATATTTATACGAAAAAGATAACCTTCATCATTTCATCCAATGGCATTAAACATTCAAGAATGATGCCTCCTTATCAAACTGGAAAGGGAACATGATATGTTTCGCGCAGATAACTCGAGACAAGTGGAGACAAGATCAGAAGCTTACTGATCGAAGATTAATTCGAAGCAAGAAATATCGGAAATCAGAATGCGAAGAAGACCGACCTCGAGAACTAATCATCCAACTGCTTGAGCTCCGCCTTCAACTGCTCAATCTTCAGCCCCATCGATCTCTGCAGCGCCATCCGATCCTTCTCAGGCAACCTCGCCAGCAGCCCTTCGAACATATCCAGCACCGTCTTCACCGCCTCGCGGGCGCACTCCGCCTCCTCATCGAAGTAGATAGTCTCCTTCGACTCCATCGCCGCTTCGATCTCTTCCCGGGCCTCCGCGAACTTCAGGTTGATCTCATCCACCTCCTTGCTGTGGTCAAGGGGTCCTCCGCCGGTGGCGAATCCATGGCGGCCAAGACTCGGCGGGAGCGGGCATCGCATCAGGCGGAAGGACGAGAAGGGGAGACCAAGGGGGACCGGTGTGGGAGGTTTTGTGAGGATCGCGGGAAGAGAGGAGAAGGCGGAGATGGATTTGTGGAGGAGAAACCGAGCGATTCGCCGCATCGCTCACGATCAATTCGATTGGAGCCGACTAGGTCGAGGATTTTAAGGGTTTGGCGATAGCAGGGATGAAAGATTTCCCATTATATTAGAATTCTATTAGCGTCATATATTTTAAAAAAATTATATTAAAATTTATATAATCCTAAAAATAAAATAAATAACTCATAGTCGGTTATATTAATGAAAAATATAATATATAATATCATTTACTAGATTGGTATGAAAATGATGTGTGAAAAAATAATTTTAATATTCTTTCATTTTTATTTTATCAATAAAAAATAATTTTAACATTTCACTTGGGTCAGGCAGCTAAACTCTGAGGACCTATAATGCTGAGCTCCTCAGCCTAAGTTATAGGATAGAATGAATAGATCATAGGTCTGACCAAATAATTAGTTGTCCTAAATGATCAAATTGTGTCCTTAGGGAGGAGTTCGACCTACTAGCTTCGTGATGGATGTGAGTGACTTAGCCTCCATCCACTTTATGAGATAATCTATACTAATGATGAGGGATTTGCACTGGCCCAAAGTTGGTACAAAAGGATTGAGGATATATATTCTCCGTTGGACAAAGGGTTAATCATAGTCGATTGTGATTTGAGGTATTACTGGCTGATGTTGGTTTCGCATGAATTTCTAGCATTAATTGTGCCTTTGAGCGTAAGTTGTAACATCCTTCCGTAGTGTCATCCAGTTGAACCTCTCAAGAAAAATTCTAAAGGTGAGCATTCATTTGTCGATGTGCTCTCCACACACACCTTTATGGATGACTAGGACCCTCTCGGTCTCTTGAGATGTTAAGCACATATAGAGTATTGGTTGAAAGACTTACAATAGAAGCGATTGTTAATCATATGGTACCATGCTTAATAGTGTTTAACTTTCTGAGTCAAGGAGGAGTCAATTGGGAGCATCTCGTCCCTCTTGTAGCATAGGATCTCGTTTATTCAATAGGGTTCTTACTCGGTATAAGCAACCTCAAGGGTGTTGATAACTTATGTCGACAACATATTGACTTACACCTTGTCATCTTTCATAGTTCGGGTTGAGGCTAGCCTTACAAGTGCTTTAGCCTAAGAATTATCCTTGTGAGGTACCTATAATACATTGAGCTTGTAGAAGTTAGATGTTAGTTTTGCACCTCTAGGTACTACGTCATTGTCACATCTCGAGCTTCAAAGCTCATATTCACTTGGTTATGACTAGTTGTAAATTATTAAACACCATCAACTCCTAAATTTATAACTCTCTTATGAGCCAAAGTCATAAGAGGAGTGCTTTGTACTTAGTTTTATTGTTAGAGATTTTAAAATCAAACTAGAGGGCTTGCTCATAGACTAGGTTGTCGAGGCCTTTGACAACAAGTCTAGCACCACCTCCACCCAAGGTGGCCAACCTATCAACAAACAATGTCCATGTGGGATGGACATATGTGTTCTTGAATGGCGGTGGAGTGTGCTTCGACATGAAGTCAGCGAATGTCATTGTCGAACTCTCACAGCTCTACTAACCGAGTAACTAAACTGACATATCAATTTAGGAGAGGACCTATCAAAGGCGATAGTCAGTGATCACTTGAATCACATGCACTTTAAAATAAAAGTGTATCTTTCTTTAGCTTCTCGATTGACAGGTATCACATCTCGAGCTCACTCAAGATATGACTAATATAGTATATGGGACTTTGGATCCCCACATCATCTCAAATCAAGATCAAACTAACAATAAAGCTTGTGGCAACGAGATAGAGGCTCAAAGTTTTACCCAAGATATAGGAGGTGAGTTTTTATAGTCATGCTATGTGATCCTTAGTTTATCAAAGGCACCTTGTCACTCCTTCGTCCACATGAAGCCCTTCGAGTTTTATAATATAAGAAACAAGAGAAGACATTTATTGTTAGATCGAGAGAAGAATCGATTGATGGCTGCTAGCTAATCCGTCAACTATTGGACCTCTTTGATCGATCGAGGTGGGTGCATCTCTAATATGACCTATACCTTCTCAGGGTTAGTGTTTATTCATCATTAGTGCCCAACAAAACCAAGAAATTTGCCCTGAGTTAACTTTGAAAAGACACATTTGGTCGGGTTGAGATACATTTAATTTTTTTAAATGTTTGGAATGTCTTTGCTAGGTCGATCAAATGTGTATTAGTTGTCTTGCTTTTCGTGATTATGTTATCAACATAGGTCTCGATATTTCTCCACATCTAGTCCTTAAATATTTTGTTTATCATACTCTAGTAAATCTCCCTAATAATTTTCATTCAAAAAAATACGATTCGATAGCTATATGTTCCTCGATCAATAATGAATAAGGTATGCTTTCAGTTTTTTGGGGCCATCCTAATATGATTATATCCCGAGAAGGTATCCATAAATGTTAGCAACTCATGACCCGAGATGACATCAACTAGTTAGTTGATCCGGGGGAAGGGGTAGTTATCCTTTGAACATGCCTTATTAACATCGGTATAGTCAATACACATCAATTAATTTTTATTAGATTTTTTAACGAATATAATATTGGCAAGCCACTAGGGGTCTTGCACATTGGAGATAAAACCAGGACATAATTTGTCTACCTTATTGTTGACGACTTGCTAGCGATCGAGGATGAACTTTTGATGCCTTTGCTTCATTGGGTGTGCCTCAAGTGAGAGGTTCAGATGGTGTTAGGCCACGTTAGGGTTGATTCCAAGGATGTCTTTCGATGACTACACAAAGACTTTAACATTACTTCGAAAGAAGTCAATAAGTTATATTTGTCATGGCTTAGGCAACGCTGCCCTGTCCCTTAATAATATGATCGAGTTATAGCTTTATTAAGAGTTACTTCGATCAATTACTCAAAGCAAAGGGTTGGGGCTCATCAAGAACCATCATAGCATTTTTAACCAATTTTAAAACTTGATCGAGAAAAAATATATTTTGAAAACTCCATTGATTAAGTAAAAGTTTTGAAAAAGGAAAATAATAATACTAAATCAAAGTGAAAGACAAGTAATGAGAGATAAACTAATTTATAGTGGTTCAGTCTTCTCAACCTATGTCCACTCTCGATCTCTCTTTCCTAGTGATCATTAGCTTTCACTATCAATTTTCTTTTCAATGAGCAAATATCAACTATCTTTCTTACAATTTTTTTTCTCAGACCACTTTTTTAAGACCATTTACCTCAACTTAGTATTACAATTAAGCTCAAGATAGAAGAGATTCAAACTATGCTCAAAATGAGATCATACCTCATTATCTTAGGAATGGATACTCCATTAACCAAGCTTTAATAAGGTATTTATAGGTCCAAAAGACTTCAAAAATGAAGCTAAAATTTTAAATCCTTAAAATTTCGAGGTATAAGTGGTACTACCGTTGACACTTGGTGGTACTATTATCATAACTTTTGATATGAATCACAAATATAGATAGATTATTGGGGTACTACTATTACAAAATTTAAATTTTGGATGGTATCGCTATCAACCTAGATGGTACTATCACCTAAACTGACAGTACTATTGCCAATAGTATTGATAATATATTTTTATGTTGTTGATTGACTTAAACAGTACTATCACCCGAGCCTAGTAGAACCATCATCCAGACGACCTAGTATAGATAACTTATTTAGTCTTCTAACAGGTCCAATTCTTACCTAAAGGTTACTATAATCTTGGGCTCAAAATTAGTATAAAAATGACTCAAATTGATCTAGAACACTTGAATCTTAACTCAATAATTTCGGTATAACATTAAAGCTTTTGACATGTTTTTTGATCTTATGACCCTTTATATGAACCTTCGACACATTATCTTATCGCTCAACATATCGCTTGCTCCTTCCAACACATCGTCTTTGTCATGACATCCGATCTTCTAATATAAGATTCATTCCTTCTAACACAATGTTTAAACCTCTAGCATAAATTTCACCCTTTGGCATATCAATCAATCCATCAACTCAGCATTCGTTTCTTTGGTGGTTCGAGTGTATTATTAAAATATTTATTACATCACTTATCTCAAAATTATATTCATCTAATAATTTATCAATAATTTTTTTTATCAAAATCTAAGATTTAACGGTCTTCTTCATTTTGACGATGATAATCAATTAATGGTATGGTTTTAACAAGACTTCTCATGTGTATAAGTCATCTTAAAAAAGGTACATTAACTTGAACTAAAAAATAACAACATATATCAATTCAATACTAATCTTGAATTCAAGTTAAAATAAATTTGATTTTGTTGATATTATCATTATAAGCCTAAAAATATAATCAAATTTGAAGTTTTAAAAAAATAATATTTAATCATTATCAAGATTTAATGCATAGGTTAAAAGTTATACAAGCATTATAATTCCTTTTGTTCAATACATAAGTTAGGTATGAATTACTGTTTCTTTCCTTGATCATCAATAAAGAAAATATAAGTTACTATTTTTCTCTCTTTGTCATAAAAAATAAAATAAAAATATATAAGACATAAATACAAAAGAGTCATAAAACAAATATCAAATTATGAATATGAATAAGTCAAGAGAAATATCATGATTAATTTGGATAAATCTCCCCCATAATCATTAGCAAAAAAATTAAAATGATAGGAGAACAAATAATAAAAGGTATTTAATCATATATTTGAAAGATTCAACATGTTTAATTCTTTTCTTAAAAAAATCAAATTGAATTTTACTTAGAGGCTTAGTAAAAATATCTATAAGTTGAAAACTAAATTCAATAATATTTCATAAATCATAATCAATAGAAAGTAAAAAAAATTTCATTCGTATTTTTCAATAGGTGTAATTTATCTTATTGAACAAACTTATGTTATAGTATCTCTTGATTGCTTGAAAATATCATTATTGTTTTCTTAGGTGTTAATCTAAAGGAGAAAATCTTGCTTTGATACTAATCGTTCGAATCTTAATAACACTAAAAAAAAGATAGATGAATTAATGCTATTGATCAATTTTAAAATTCGATAGAGAAAATAATATAGTTTAGAAACTCGATTAATCAAGTAAAAATTGTAAATAAAAAGAATAATACTAAATCA